GGACTGGTTCCAAATTCTGGATGGGATAGCCCAGATAGTCCTCTTCCAAGAAATTGCAAGTTCTAAAATCTTGGCTGGAGGTCCTATCTATTCCAGCTAAACTTTACCCCCTGCAAAATACTTCTTGGAAAGCTGGTAAGACCTTAAGGCTTCAGCAGTTTTCCCACCTGCCTGTTTTTGTGCTGGCCCCTTTGGCACCTTGCTGGGACCCCCTCAGACATGGTTGCCCTTCAGTGCTGCTCTAGCTCAGGATGAGCAGGTTTAGGATGCATGTGTACAGAAGCTGTTAGTGGACTGTGCACTGAGAAAAACCTACAGAAAGGTAAGCAGACTCATCAGGTATTATCCTAGCTCCTTGTTCATGCTATTACACTGCTCTGTAATGAACCTTGCTGACAGTGCTGGTTATGAGGCCTCCCTCCATCAGGAGAAGTGTCAGAAGTTGTTAGGTGCCCACTGAGAAAAAACAGCAATAGGAAACGGTGCTCAAATCTAGACCACATGCAGTGAGAGCTGGAGCTGAACAACGAGCACAGAAGCATTTCACTGCAACAAATGTGAACGTATCTGTGGGATATTGTTTGGCAGTTTTGGTGAAGCTGCGTTTATGGAAGGGTAGAAGGAGAATTTAGGGAAGATGGTAATGAAACCATGGACAGCCAGCAAAGCACTTAGTAAACTAACCTCAAGGAAAAACAAAAACAAACAAACAAAAAACACTTAGAAAAAGGAATCCTCCCAACCAAATAACAGTAGGGGGAAAAAACGGTTAAGTGAGTTACGGAATAAGGGAATATTTATGGCTTGATTTTATTGCATTTAGCAAAACAGGGCTTCAATTATGTTCTCTGAAAGCACCCACAATTGCACAATATCATCAATGCCTCCATGTGCTGGAAACAAACTTCACGCTGACAAACTGCTCTGGTGTAAAGGAGTAACAGCATTTTACAACCTGACCCTCAGCAGAGCTGCTCTTGGGGAAGAGAAATCTCTCTGGAGTTGCTCAGAGCCTCTGATGGGGTTAAGAAACCTGTGTCCTCTCTACTCTGCTGATCCACGGTTGCTAGCACTAGCAACACAGTGGGGAACAACATATTGTCTTTTTCCTTTGCTCGTCCTGGACAGAGTATTCTATCAAGGGCACTTTGCACAACTCGTGGCCCACACTGCTGGCCTCCTCATTAGCTCCAGCAGGGCACAGGTCAAAACAATTCAAAATAACCCAAGTATTGCAACAGCAAACTCACCACACAAAGTAGTAAGTTCTGGCCAGTTTTAATTGTGAATCCAATTAGTGCTAGGTTCCCAGCAGGCACTTTAACCTCCTCCTTCTAAAAACACACACGGTATTGCTAGTTTCATTGGAGAGAGATTTTTCCCCTCATGCATTTTCCCTAGCACACAGGTTATCACTGGGAGCAGTCACTGTTTGTTATGGAAGTACATCTTTTAGGACAGTATGTGGGTTTTATTAAGCTCCACAGGAGCCCCAGCTGCAGGACTACATGTTTCTACCTCTGTCTAAGTGAATTTGGAAGTGCAAGACAGCAGAGCTACTTCTTTGTAACTGAAAGTGAAGTTGCAGACTACAAGAAATGTGAGCATTTAATATTCACCCCACAAAGGTATCAACCAACTCCACTTCTCTCTGTCTTTAAAAAGCAAGCAGGCAATCACTTCAGAGAGGGAAGTGAGAGAACTTTCACAGGGATCCCGACCTTGAAGTACGTCAGGATCCTTTTGCTTTGCATCATTTTCAGTAGATTAGCCATAAGAATTTTTGTTCCACTTGCTAAAAGACAATAAGAGAAAAACCTACACAGGCCACAGGCCTGTGGCTTTCGGTTCCCCTGCACCCACTGGCAGCCTTGGGTTTGTGTTTGGTTTTTGTTTTAAAGGTTCCATTAAGTCAAAGCTGCAGCTCAGTGAAGATCTGATCTAAGCTGGTCCTGCTTTGAGCAGGCCATTGGCACAGACGACCTCCAGAGGTCCCTTCCAACCTGGATTATTTTATGTAAAGCAAATCACAGACATCCCCATTGATAAAATAAGACCTATAAAACATTCTTACTCCCCAGGATGCCTTTGTCATTGTGTTAAGAGTGCAAAGGAGGCAGAGAGGAAGGCAAAAGGAAAGAAGTAAAGTCTTACACTAACCTCTTCGTAACAGCTGAGAGAAAGCATGAATTTAAACTCTTCCAAAAATCCAAAAGCTTGGGGCCTCACTTATAAGAAGGGATAAAGACTATACATGCCAGAATTATTCTGGAAGCCCCACAGGTAAGGCACTACACTGGCAATGCACATAGGCACCACTAGTTTGTAGTTGCTTCCTATTCTGCATCTCAGTCTGAGAAGAGGAACACACACAGAGGGATGTCTCCTAAACTTTTTGATTTTGTTTCATTTTTGGGGCAGCTTTTGTTATTGTTGTTGTTGTTTTCAAGTAAAGTCTGCAACAACAGAATAAAAGACTTTCTCACAGGTAAACCAGGTACAGTGGCTGGTTGTGTGCCAGCTGGTTCTGCATCTAAGGACTTGCTCAGTGGCAGTTTATAGTGTGTGAGAAAGCACTGATTTTTTTTTTGGTTTGCAATGATTAGGGGTATTTAGTCACACTGAGTCCCCCAACCCAGTAAATATAAAAACAGAGGAAAGGGTTGACACACATCTCTTCAGGCATGCTCATGGAGTTATATATAGTATTAAAACACCAGTGCTTTGCGCTAGGCAGAGACTAAGAGTGCAATATTCTTGTGTTAGTGGTCAGCTTGAGAAGATGCCCCTCAGCATCAGGAGTTTGTCTTGACTGACTGAAGAGGGAAAGGAGAAGGGGATGCTGAACAGCTCATGTGACAGTTACTCTGTCATCTGCTATGCTTTGTGCTAGTTCAACCCTTTAACCCACTGCCCTGGGTAAACAGGGACTTAAAAGTCAAACAGCAAGTGCTGCAGAGCACAAATTGTCCTCGCTGGGAACACGAAAACGGACTCAGATATGGGAGTCAAACAACAAAAACAATAACCAGATCTGCAAGAAGAGAGAGGAGTCAGCCCAAGCTGCCCTCCCCATGCCATACCCACCTACCCAGAAGGTGAGTAGATCTGCTTTGCAAAGCACTCCATCTGTGAGTGATGGCAAATAGCACCATCTGAAAAACAAAAAGAGCGCTGTCTACAGCGTTCCTGGAAGTACGTTTCTGTGGGCAATCTCCACGACAGGTCGTCTCAGTGCAGGATATTCCGAGTACCTCTATTTGAAAGCCAGTAACAAACAAAAACAATGCTTTTTGAGAACGACTGTCTCCACTTGAACGCTCAGTCAGAGTCCACCTACTGCTGGTATTTGAGGCATTTTTCCAACAGTAAAAACAGAAAGATCAGTAAGACTGGAATAGACTGTCCATGTCCTCTGATATACCCTTGTCCAATAAGTTGGGCACACCCCCTTAGCAGTCCCTACCCCTTCCACACAACTGTCATCTGCTTGGCTTTCAAGGCTGTACAGAAAGGTCTTGATCATGTTCATCCCAAGATATAAACATGGCAAATACAAGTTTAAGCAGAGGTTTTAAAAAAAGAACATTCTGTTCTTTTGGTGGTGGGACCAAGAGTAGCATCCATATAAATCCATACATGAAGTTACATGCTGGCAGTACTAAGAAGAAGTGTATATTACGAGAATTTTCACTTTTCAAGACTATCTTTTCCCTCAAATTCATTGTCTTTCAGATCACATAAAGAGATAATATAATCTGAACAGAAAAACTCTCTGTTTTTTGAGCTTCTAATTCTTTGCTTCAAGAATCTGTCCCCCTGTCTACTTGTCCACCATATCATTGCTTCTTTATGAACAGACGACTCCAGCCTCAATGTAGGACTAGAGGGTTTTCCAGCCAGGCAGCAAACAATTGCAATGGCTGGAATTCCTAAAGATAAATGAAGTCCACTGCTGAGCTCCATGACTGCAGGTATCAGAACAACTACTCTCCATGTGTGGATTCAGATCGAGCAGGAAGTGGCAGTCAGCTTTCACTGGCTATTATCGTACTGTATCCACCTGAACCCTGTGCTCTGTTCTCTTAGTGAAAGGCAACTTAAAATCCTAGCCACTCACACCATCAAAACTGTATTTCCCACCCTACTTTACTCTTGTATGAAATGCCTTCTTTAACACTGTTTCCAAAATTCACTCCTGAAAGCAGGAGTGGTCAAAATATGGGATAGACAACAGTATGCAGCAATGTCTCATTCCAGCTATTCCAGTGACCCACCATACGCACAAAGCACCTCAGTGCTTTGCCTCTGCTTCAGAAGGCTACAAGTGACCTACAGCTTGCAGATACACGCAAGATTTGCAGCACTGCAAAGAAACATTTTCTCTAACTACTGCAATTAATAAAACAAACCAGCCACCCGCTTCATTCAGGTATTAACTGGTGCTTGGGTTCTGCTAACACCGAGTCCCTGAGCCGGCAGAGGGAGCGCAAGCACGCTGATGATTTCCAGCTTCAGAGATGCAGCAGTTAACACAGGAAAGCTAACACCACAAATGCGAGTGCACCACGGACAGCTATCTCTGGCAAAGCTCGGAAAGAAACCAGTTTCAGGGGCTGACAAACAGGAAAGGATAAATACCCAGAACAGAATCCAACATTACCTCGGGGATTATGCGAAGCATTTTGCAAATACTTAAAAATAAAGTTAAAAAAAGAAAAAAAAATGGGAGCAAGACCTGCCAGTGTTTGTAAGAGTGGATAAATCTGTCTGTCCTTATTACTTGCCCTCATCCCAGGAAACACACTTTAGTTCCTACCATTCAGCCTGTCTCCAAAGGATTCTCATCACAGCAGATATCAAAAAAGCACAAACAAATCCTTTAATGATGGGATTGTGGCATTTTGATTTGTTTTTCTGTCATGCAGAACAATGAGGAATGTTTGATAGCCACTTTCGGGAACATAAAGCCCCAAAAGGGAAAGAAGAACTGGACTCACCTCATCCAGTTTGCTTTGGTTTCATCTGTCCCATCTATGGATTTGTAGCGGTTGTTCTTATCCACGATCTGCAGAATGACAGAATATATGCAACCAGTGAACAAGCTGGTTCACACAGGAGTAAGACTTTTATTTTCAAATCACTACTTCATTTCCAGTGTCAAGTCAAGACATGCAATTCTATGCCACAGATCTAAATCCTCATGAGTACTCCAGACTGCCATCCTGATTGCCGGATTGTTTGGACGCTTCTCCGAACTCAGCAAAAGGCATTTTCCCTGTGTAGAAATATCTACAATTCAGAATTATGGATGTAGCTGGTACCTGAGGTATAAAAGACCGGCTTTCCTTTTAGAGTAGAGCTGAGCCAAGTATGAGAAGAATTTAATACCAGCAACTCTACACTTTTTTTTTCCCCAGCTATAATTCAAGTCCCACATTTGATTTCTCTGAGTATTTAGTATCAGTCAATCTACAAGATATCTCTACCTCACAGGCTGACAGAGACCTGTAGGACTGAAGTAAAAATGCATTTTTGCTGCTGGAGTTTGCATATAAATTGGCTTCTGAAGACCTGTGTGAGGCTGGTTTCCTTTTTCATGGTGCTTCCACAGAGGCCATCTGCTCTGCAGAATCTAAAAATGAAAAGAGAAGCAAGCTCTGCTTTCTAGACTGTGAATTGAACTCAGTTTCAATTTCTGATCCCCATTAGTGTACCCGTATCTTTAAATGCCTAATAATTATGCCAGATCCACATTCACCTATTGCCTATATAGGTCAGCAGAGGAGTTTCAGAGAAGGGAGAAGATGGCTAAGTTCTGGCTCCGCTGTCCCATGAGTTCCAGCTCTCAGTTGTGTGGTGAGGAATCATTTAGTTAACAAGGCACTTACCAGCCAAGAGAAGAATCCTGCGGACTTGTCCTGGCTAGAGATCTGCCCCTCGTATGGCCCGAAGATGTGACCTTTGGGAATCACCTCGTTCATACAGCGCACGTCGTTCTCCCCGTTGGCTTCTTTCACCACCTCCATACCAGGTGGGATGGTCAGCGCTGCCCGGTCAGGGATCCCGATAGGCACTGGGGTGTCAGACACGAACACCGGGGGACCGTGGTTCGGACACTCATCGACAAAGTACTCCTGGCAGGACTCGCAAACTGTGGGGGTGAGGGGAGCAGACGGCAGCAATTAGGCAAGGCAGACAGGACATCCTTTTAAGTTCACAACAGCTCATACAACACACAGCAGTGAGGCTTGACTCCATTTCTCATCCTTCCAGGGAAAGGTGCCTGCAAACTGAAGTGAAGAACTAAAACCAGCAGTTTCTTTTTCCACACAGAGAAAGTGCATTCTCCCTCAGCCTAGGTCCTGCCAACAGGACAGGACAGTCCTCTTCTCCAGATGCTGCAGGCTGGGCTTTCATGCTCACAGGTGCTTCACAACCTTCTCATGCTGTTTTTCTCATGTGTCTCTCAACAACTGTTCTGCCTCAGACTGTGACCAAAATCCACACCTGGGTGCTTTGGGAAGTAACCTTCTCTCCTATCTTCTCAGATGAGCAAGCGCTAGTGACGTACGGATTTGTCATGCACAGATAATCCTCTTTCACCGTTAGCAGAGTCAGAGTTTAGAGACTCCTTCCAGATCAACAGTTAGCTTCCTCTAGTCAACTTCCTCTATCCAGCTAAAAAGTTTGATTTCCCACAAAGCAGAGTAGCAAACAACATACACTCTGAAAACAAAAAGTTTATTTTTCTGTGTTGAAGAAAACAAATAACATCCCCAAGTACCTGTCTTGAGGCTGAACTCACGGTCTCCTTTATGATCTATGATATTGAGGGTGTATCTGTCTCCTACCACTATGCAGGCCTATAACTGACAAGCTTCTCTTGTGCAACAGCTTTCCTATCAAATATGCCAGTTGTCTTAGGAGAGCATGAATTCATGACTTTTTTCCACCCCCTTTTCTGCTGCAAACACACAGGGCGTAGATTATAAAAGACTAAACTCTGTACAAGCAGTGGCATTTTTTTTCCTCCACTAACGAGACACTTACACCAGAAATCCACTTGTTGAAAGCTCTTGGTCATGATCAAATCTCGCTTCCCTTTCATTTTCTTGGGTTCCACATCCATGGACTGTGGATCAGGCCTTCCAGAGCTGGGAAGAAAACAACAGAAAGACGACTTTAACCTGCCAAGATCTTGCACTGCAAATAGAGAGGAACAGAGGCAGCGAGATAATGGTTTAAGAGAATTCTCTTAGTCCCCACGCCGGTAGCAGAAAAATGATTCATCTTGCCATCCAAGCTGTCTACCTGCCAGAATCTGGTGCACGACGCACTTTAAACCTAAAGCTCATGGTAATTATTGGCTCACTCCTGATACAAACCTGGCACACACCACCCAGTCTATAGGAGGCTGGAAGAGTGAATTCCCATCATTTTGCTACAGCCAAGGAAAGTTGCTGACTGAAGGTAAGGCATAACCCTCAGACACTGGCACTGTAAGCCCTCATATAAACTAGTATACAGACACATGTCCAATAGATGAGCAGAGGACCATCCCAGTCATAAACCAGAAAGCTGAGTCTCACAATTGAGAGTTAACATCTTTGACAGCTTCAAGTAGATTCCTCAAAACCAACCTTAACTTAGAAGGGAAAACACACAGGATAGAAACTCAGCCACATACCAAGGTTGTCCATACTCCTGGTCACGGCGCGGAGAGCAAGCCTCTGTTTTTATCGTCACCATCTCCCCTAAGGAAGTTTGGGTCTGGATCAAACAGTCCTTCAAGTTTTCACTCATGTTCTAAAAACAGAAGGAAGAAAAAGAAAAAAAAATGAATGGCAAGGAAATCACAACCTTCCTTCCTGAGGCAAGGATCCAGCCAACAGGCTCCACTTGCCTGCAATAAGAACAGTCATGATGTCTGCGCAGGTCCTGGATCACCTACATATTCATATAGAACAAAATCCCTTCCTGTACCATGAGGGAAGGAAATAGCATTTCAGTTATAGATCAAGTGAAGAATATTATACACAATTGAGCAATTTGAGGCATAAGGAATCTAAATTTTACTCCACAGCATTCACAAAAGTTGTTGCAAATGTAATTCAAGACTTACAGATAGGACATGTTAATGAAATGCAGCATGATTATTTCAGAGCAGATCTTTGAGGAAAGGAAGAGAGAATACAGGTGCATACACAAATCTGGGTCCATCTACAGACACAACACACACCAACCCCTTTCAGAGATTTCCCCTTCAGGGAAGTATGTCACTCCTCAAAAGAGTTTCAGTGTTTTGGACACTTTCTGCAAACAGTGAAATGTCTGCAGTACCCTGCAGGATTCCAGCAGAATTGCACAAGCCACGTCCTCTCAACTTCCCATCCCTTGAGATGAATGGAGCTGAGCTATCATTGCCCTTCTGGAAAGCAGGCTGCTTTAATGAAAACGCTTCTCCCCTAGCTCATCACAAAAGCCAGAAACCACTTAATGATGTTTACAGATAGCAAGCTCAAAGCTAATATATCTTCTCCCTCTCCTGCTACAAGATGCTGTTGAGGACAGAAAAAAATGGTATGGCTAAACATGGTAATTCAGAATTAGTTTTATTAACATTGACATTTTTGGAATGGCTACTAAGGCCCAGAACATCAGGGCTTGAGATGAGCTGAAGACAGCAACAGGCAGGTGTTCTGCAGCGAACACGGTCAAAAAATGGCATTGTTGGGAAGCTGGGAGGGCCGGACATCTACAGTTTAAAGTTCACCACCCCTGTGGCCTTTAGTAGGAAGAGATTCAGACATGAGATGCAAACAGACAACAGCTTTTCCTTTCCCACTCTTTCTTTGCAGAGATTCTTATATTATGAAGCAAGAGAGACCAGTAAGACTGTGCAGCCTGCCCTCCTGTATAATGCAGGCCACAGAGCTCCCTTGAGGTAATTCTTGGTTATCCAATAACATATCCCCAAGAAGAGAAAAATACATCTAGTGTTGACTTTGCAGATGGAGCTCCTCGTTTTACTGTGTTTTACTTTATTCTCATGGTTTTCTCTGAACTCTCTCCAACTTATCAGCAACATTCTTGAATAACACTGACAGCAATATTCCTGTGCAGACTGAATCAGTACCTTGTACTAAGATAACGCCCTCCCTAATTTCTGCTCAGGATTTCCAGGTTTGTGTCCAAGTACTGCATTTACTATCTGGCCATCATTCCCAGCTGGGATATTTTGCTCAGCAAATCACTATGTCCACTGTGAGAGTCCTAGCTCTTGCAATAGCTTCCGCACCACCACCACGCTGTCCCTTATGCCAGCCCTTCTCTGTTCCTAGAGTCTGATTTTACATTTGAGAGTCAAAACGCGTTATTTTTTCATTCAGCATTGATGTGATCCACATCTCCACACGTGATCCATATCAGATGTGATTCACAAGTCTATCAGTCTCCTTTTATCACCTGTGACTCTCCTGAACTTTGTGCTGTTCAAACAGCAAAATTAACTTTGTGTTTTCTTCCAAGACATTGATTGACTTATTGAATAACATCAAGTGGAAAAGTGTGATTTCCACACACATCACAGATCAATGATTTTCAACTGAAACTACTAGAAATATATTTGATTAACAATGATTCCCTTTTCATTACAACTCTGCTTCTCTCATTTATTCCAGTTTTCATGTATTCAGTATATAATACATTGAATCATTCTAGATTCTTATTCCAATGATATATAGTACAAGTTAAGTGCATTGCAGACATACCAACACACTTAATTTTATCAGCCAAATTTGCAGTAACATCATGTTAGGTTAAGACCTATTTTCTCAAAATTTGTGCAGATGAGCTATTAAAATTAATGACTTCTTTAATCATGATGGATCAGCTACTTTACTGGAAGCCAAGATCAGGCTGCAGGTAGCCTAACAACATACTTTGCATAGTTAGGTTTGATATTAGCTTACCCGTCAATAATTTTAAGTACTAGCACACCTCTTTTTTTTTTTTTTTAGTCTAACATATTATGAATACATGAAAGAGAAAATATAGCACTTATGGCTGTGAGAGAGGCGCTCACTGAGCCCTTTTAAAATCCCTGGATCCAAGGTAATCAAAACAGCAAATTAAAAGATGTATTGCTCAGTAGTTTCCTGAGCTACTGTAACAATAGAGAGCATCTTGGAGCTGCTGAAGCAGGTAGCACCATCTAGCTTTTCCTCTAGTTTTAGAAAAGAAATATTCACCATTTCTTCTTAACGGTTAGTAGAGCTACCAGTTCTGGTCCTCAGCAGATAACCATGATTTTAGGATTCTCTTGGCTCCTAATATATTTAGAGTTGCTTGATTTTTTTCTTAATATTACTGCCCACTAATTTCTCTTATTGCCCGTTCTCCTTCCTCTTTCGTTTTCCACAACTAACACATTCTGGTTCATATTCTACCCTGTTCACTTCCCTCCACTCAATCACATTTCTTGGGAACAATTTTAAAAATTATCTTTGTTTTTGCACATATACCCAAATTCCTCTGAAGATTTAGGATATCAGGGAGAAGCAATCTGCAAGCAGGGTATGCTGCTCTTATTAACTGTTTAAGGGATTCCAGAAAGCGTGTCTGCATGTTATAAAGATGCTCAGCCTTCTCCTGATGTCGTGTGTACATGACCTAGCACAGAAAGACGAGCTGCACATTACGAAAGGTCACCTCTAGGTCAGAGGGGTGCTCTGAAGATCCACATGTTCTATGGACACAAACAGAAGTCCTTGGGGCAGTAAAGGCAGCAGTCATGTGAGGAACAATGTCCCTTAGCATTGGTGCTGTAGGTCTGCTACTGATGTAAATCCCAAAATATATCCCCTGGCTCACAACTGGTGCCACGTAATCTCTCCCTGTTTTGTTACAAAATAGGTAAGAATCCATTATATCTCTGCACAATACACATTAAGGTCTCCAATGGTTTTACCATGTTGCTCACTATGAAGGAAATAAAAATACAAGAACATCTGAGCTGTTGATCTCAAACAGAGATAAAATGTCCACATGGAGTTAAACATGAACAAACCTGTGAATTCCTGTCCTCAAGTATGTCCCCTTTATCACTGCCACTCTTGTAGCTATTAGTTAACAGTCACAGACTCTTATCTGTGTGGATCAGCCTCCAAAACAGAGCTTTAATTTTACACATTACTGGCATGCTTCCCAGATTTGGACATTCTTGCATGTGAAACAGTCATATAGGAATCCATCCCCTCCCCAGTACACAGCTCTTTCACTTAGTTTTCACTGCTGGTCTTTCAGAGGTCATCGCCTCTTGTAAGAAGGATCTTGGATAGCTTGTATCACATTTTAGTTTTTAAGTGCTGGCCCACGGTTAAAGATGGACTTTTAATCTGTATGCTTTTTCTTCAGCTGCATACTATTACCAGAAATAGTAATCCAGAACATTCAGCCCCCGACAAGCTGAGAAAGTGAAATAAAGCACAACACTGAAGGCTCTGAGCTTCCCTCAAACAGCTACTTAAGACTCACAGTGACTCTCTTGCCCAAAGTAAATTCATTTATCAAGATCCACCGCTATGCCAACCATTTCAAGTCACCTCATGAAGTACCTCTTCAGACTACACAACTCATGGTATGGTCACAGACAGAGAATTAACCTGTCACAGGAAATTGCAGGCCATGGGTGATGTAGGATTTGAGCAGCATGGACTACAACGCCTAATCACTGCCTATTAGTCCTTTACAGACAATAGTCATAAATTCACACACAGCAAAAAAAAAAGTTTGAAGTGCGAAACAATTTCCTGGACTTTTAAACTCGCAAAATATTGAAGAAAATCAGGATTGCAAAAGTATAAAAGATACCTGGAAACATCAGCAGTTCTGCTGTGACTAGACCTATTTTACAGCAGGGAAGACTGGTGGTTCTGAGCACACTTCTTCAAGAAGAGTGACTTACATGAAAAACAGAATTCAGGTACGATGATGTTGGATTCCTGACGTCATCCCACTGCAAGTGGGATGAGGATAGGGAAATTCCAGCCTGCTAACTTGGAACTCCTCCTGTTGTTTCAAAGGGATGCAATACTTGTTCTCGCTGGCACTCTTACCCTACGTGTAATACAAAACATGTCATTAAAACTTGTCATCTACTCCAGGATGGACACATTTCAGAGGAGGAAGAAGGAAGAGAAGCTCCGAAACGGAAATAATTTTAAGTGTGTCTTAATGAACCCGTGGTGGCTTCTCGTCAAGGTGGAGGTTGCTGCTGACTTTACAGGATTTGATAGAAAATCTTTAGTACACTCAATTCACAGCATATGCCCTTTGTTGATCCGAGAATAGGAAGCAACTGTCATGGATCAACACAAGCCCCTGCAAACAGTTTACTATTTGGTGCAACTCCTCTGTGCCAAGTGTTGAGTACTTGGAGACACAGAGGGACGCTGATGAAGGAACGCTCCCACGGGGGCAAAGCCTCCAAAACAGCCCTGTACACAGCGAAGCAAAAGCAGATACTGGGCACAAAGAACGTGCAAGTGACTTGGGTCTTCAAAACACTTTAGAAATTAATTTCCTTAAACTGGAGACCCCTCATTTTTGGTGTATTTAGGCTTCTGCACTGTTCTTACAGATTCACAGTTCTGAGATAGGAGGGAGAATTAAGTCAACCTGACTGATGCCCTGTAAATCACATGTCCTTACCTTTTACCTATAAACAGGACCAAATCCCTGCCTGAAGCAAGCAAGGCAACGGAAGTCAACACTTCATCAGTTGTTTATTTCCTTATCAATAG